CCCCCTACTAGAGAACCGCCTCTGGCACTGCTGGCCGCCGCTCACCATCAACTCCCGATATCACCATGGGCCGCACCAGCCAGGGGAGCCCCGAATCCGCCACAGTGTACACGATGTGCAGCACGCAGCACCGGGGGCCGCGCGCGGCCAGCGTGGCGCGCGTGAGCACCGCAAATTTGTCGCCGTACATGGCGGTGGTGAAGACCTCCGATTCGACGGCGTAGTGGCTGCCGGGGCGGTGCGCGAGCAGAAGCTGCACCTCCTCGCTGGAGAAGCTGCCCATGGCGCCCGCGGGGGCGTCGAAACGGAGCTGGGAGAGGGGGTGTGGGGGCAGGGCGCCAGAGGGGAGCGAGCCGCGGGCAGCGGGGTTGGGCGGAGGAATCATGGGGGCCAGGTTGACCTGTGGATGGTGACACGGCGTCTGCATGCACCATTACGTGATCTGAACCAGGCTTTAAGATGCATGCATGCGTGCATGCACGCGCGCATGGGCGGCGTGTGAGCTTGCATGCGGGGTGATGCGGCCACTGGTCGTTGGGCGTTCGTATCCAGTTGGCCTGGACTGCGCGTGACCTCTGGGTCCATACACGCAGTTGCGTTTGGAATCACATCCGCTTTGGCGGAGACACATTACCTTGCGCGTCGCGCCTGCCGTGGCGGTGCGCAGTGCATCGGCGTCGAGGGGCGGTGTCACCCATGCGAACTGCTCCGGTGGCAGCTCTGAGCGCTCTGGGACCCATGGTGACTCATGGAGGTTGGAATCGTTCCTCGTCTGATGGAGCCTCGCCTGCATCAGAGGCCAAGGACAAGCACACCTGACTTCAGTACAACGGCAGGAGCTGTGCGCGGGCGTCTCACCGACACGCCAGGTGGTGGCCGCACCTGGAGGGCGCTCTGGACCCCGAATATGTCTTGATACACCTCGTCCACCGCCCCTCCGACGTTGAGGTGCAGCAACACTTTGCCATGATCGTCAGCAGGCCACTCCGTGAAATTAGGTGGCGTGGGCGCCATTGTATGGAGAAATAAGCAAAAATGCCTCCGTGACTTGTCTAGTAGCCATGCAGTCCGTGTAGAGCAGACGCGCAACTGAAAACTGCCCCAGTCCAAGCTACATTGAGGAATGTAGCTCCCCTCACGATCAGGGCACCCATTGATTCAAGTCAAAGGTGTTGTTCAAGCACTGACACCGCTGCCGTTAGCCCATGACAGCTCGTTAGCATCGCCGTGTCAGCACGCTGAGACAATGGCGTCCCCTTTCAAGTCGGACGCTCTCAAGGGCAAGGTGATGCCGATGTGACATTTTTCAGTGTACCAGCTAGCTGGCGCGGCGGGCCGTGGAGGGTGCAGCGGCGCATCCCTAAAGCGCGCGGCGCCAACGCTGCTTGCTGCACTCACCACGCAGCGGCTGTGCACGCCCCTCCTCATACATGGTGCCAGGTGGCCCTCGTCACAGGCGGCTCGTCAGGCATCGGGTTTGAAATCACAAGGCAGCTGGGTGCGTGCTGCACACGACATGGCAGCACAGCGCAACACTTGGGGTGGCAAAGCTGGTTCCGACCAGCTCGCAGCCCGCGTCTGCCGCCCGCGCCCGCAGCCGCCGACCTCTGACTAAACAGACTGCCCCCCCCCCCCC